TTTTTAAAAGGATACACTGTAATTCTTACTATGGGAGGCTGTCCTTCTGCAAATAGGCTTTTAAATTACTTGCAATGTTACAAGGTTCGAAGTTATTAATGACAATGCCCCTCTCCTTTTATTTACTTATTATTGATAAGATAACGGGAAAATTCATTTTTTAAAAAAAATATTCATGTCTTCTCAGTTCCTCCTTACCTATGGGCATTTTATAACACATGTAAAGCTTACAAATGCAAAAACCAAATTTAAAAGAGAACTTCTTTTCATATCGTGTGTGTGTGTGTGTGTGTGTGTGTGTAACAGATCCATGAAAATTAAATTATTTCAGGGATTTGAGGCCTTGTCATCTCCGATGATTTCAGCCTCACCAGGCGGAATCACAAGGGCACATTTGTGATGTGGTTTCTAATGAATAGCTTCCATCACAAAGACAAGAAAAATTTCCTTGATAATGTGGCACATAGGCAGCAGAGGACCTATAAATGCTTTTAGTAATAGCATTCAAAGAACTCTGAGGGTTCTAAGAACAAGAACGATCTCCGTGAAAAGGGAACAAATTCTGGAGGTGCCATTTGCTTACACATCTAGCTTTAATCATTTCCTCAACGATTTGAACCTTAGTGAATCTCTCAGAAAGAGTTCTAGTTCGAAATTTACTACTTCAATCTTCCATGCACCCCCAAAACCAAAACTGTCCTCTGACATAAGATGTTAACAGGTAAAGAAAATACAGGTGTTAGCAGGTAAAGAAAATACAGAGGATTGTTAGCCCCTTTTATGACCATTTTCTGAGTCCCACTTGGACAGGAGAGTGAGAAGCTGAAGCTCTACATCTGAAAGCAAAAGGGGAGGCGTGTCTTCTTGTAATGCAGAACTCATTCCTTATGGAGGATTAAGTAAGGACCCTCCAATAAGCTGGTGATCTAAGAAATCGGTCAGAGTCCATTGTCATGACCACAGAATGAGCCCAGGGGGTGTTTCCGGTAATGCTGACCAAAATCTTGTGATGGCATCATCTTACCAATCTGATGAAGCCATGGAAAATGTTTGATATTTCAAGGAGTAAAAGGAGTGAGATCATCTTACTCAGGCAGTATAAATTACTTGATCCCACAAACTTCTGGGTCACGTGAGAGAAAGAATTTCTTGCTCTTCTCTTGGGTTCTGTGTATCACCAGGCAGCTTACTGAGCAGAGTAAACCGTTTACAAACCTGTGAATGGTTAATCCATGGCTGAGCTCTACTTAAAAACTTCCTGAGTCGGTTAATAGTAATTAATTCTTTTGTTATTTTTCTCAGTGAAGGAAATAAAAATATTTTTAAATAGCCTTACTGATTTAATGATTCTTGTTATCCTTGTTATCTATAGTGCAAATGCACTGTTTTATTCACAAGGCTGGGGACTTTTTCTAAATATCAGATTCTTTTTTTTTTTTTTAAGATTTTATTTATTTATTTGACAGAGAGATAGAGAGCACAAGTAGGCAGAGCAACAGATAGAGGGAGAGGGAGAAGCAGGCTCTCAGTTGAAGCAGGGAGCCCGATGCTGGGCTCTATCCCAGGACCCAGGGATCATGACCTGAGCCCAAGGCAGATGCTTAACCGACTGAACCACCCAGGTGTGCCTAGAGATCAGATTTCTCAAACAAGAACAGAAACATTGCTTAACTTAGATCATGGAAATATATCAAAATATGTTTATTCTTGTGTCTCCCCCTCCCCCCCCAGAAGGAAGGTAATAAACAAGGGCAAACTGAGGTTTTAAACACACATGTGACGTCAAAAGATTATACTGAATTCTCTGTTACAGTTAAGAAATGGTTGTTGAGATACTATTTTTCATTCAAATTTGTTTATCTATAAGACAGTAACACTGTTAAATCCTCTCTCTTTAATGAAAGTAAATGTGTCAGAAGCTTGAACAACTATGTTCGGGGGTATTTATTGCTTATATAGCTCGTTCCTAATTTGATCTTGTAATGTAATAAATGTAAATGTAATAAAATATGTAAACATTTTCTATGTGCTCAATAACAATCTCACATGGCCCATTTTTATTTTTATTTAAAGATTTTTAATTTATTTATTTGACAGAGAGAGAGAGACAGCGAGAGAGGGAACACAAGCAGGGGGAGTGGGAGAGGGAGAAGCAGGCTTCCCGCCGAGCAAGGAGCCCGATGCGGGACTAGATCCCAGGACCCTGAGATCATGACCTGAGCCGAAGGCAGATGCCTAATGACTGAGCCACCCAGGCACCCCTCACATGGCCCATTTTTAAAACTGGAAAGCCAACGAGCAGTGTTATCTTCTTATTTTGTAGGAGATACATAATAAATAAGATGCATCATTTTTATATTTGACGTTTGGAGGTATCTTTCCAGCTCCCAAGTTGTACTTTTGCCTAATTTATAACACAGGCGTTCATTTTATTTAAATAAGCAAATGAAGAGTTAGAGAGTGTTTAATACTACTTCATAGTTGTTGGAACTTCTTCTTTCAAAGAGATTTGTGCATGTCGAGGCAGTCTCTTAAAAGAAAAAGTAAAAATTTTGTCTGGGAGCCCTGGAAATGTTTACTTATGGTCCCAGAATTTGAGGAATTTGGGCAGTTGCCAGGTTGTGGTAGCATGGCCTCTGAAAACATTAGCCTGGCTTATTCTGAAGAATGCACTAGATATGAAATAATCTTATTAGTCTTAACCTACAGAGAAAAGCGTAGCTGTGCAATTGTGTTTGAAATTAAACCAAATGCTCCATTTGCACGTATGCACCAAACTGCTGGAGTCTCTGATTTTGTAATTCTTAGAAACATTTGGTTTCTTTGGTGAGACTGCTATTTAAACACCTGCCCCACTTTTCCATCGCCGAGTGCCCAGGTCCATGGAGCACCCTCCTCCTACCCAGCTGTCACCTGCCTGAGATCTTAGTCAGTGGACTGCTGGTCGCTAACCCCTAACAGCATTTGCTTGGCTTGGCTCTGGGGACATGGTTCTCAGCCGCACAGGACATTATCATGTTTATCACACATGACAGCATCAATAGCAAATGCGAATTAAATTTTGTTTTGCAAATTTTTTGGCACAAGATTGTTAGACATACTTGAAAGGGATTGAAAGATACTATTTAGCAACAGTTGGGAATAACAGTTTAGAGTCTTCACAAACATTTCAAGTCTTATAATTATTCAAAATCACTCCTACAGATGGATCACTATCGTAATAATGAACCTTTTCATGGTACTTGCCATGTGCCAGGCCTGTTCTCAGTACTTTACAGATTTTAATGCACAAATACCTCATAACAACCAAAGAAGTAGGACTACTATATCCTCATTTTACAAAAAAAGAAAATGGAAACATTTAGAAGTTAATATCCCAAGATGCCCAAAGTGATACAGCCAGGAAGTGGTAGAATTGGGATGTGAACCCAGGACACATACCAAGGGCTCTCCTTTACAGCAGACAGTACGGTTTTGTAAAAGAGCTCTTGGCATTTCCTTCACGGCAATACAATTAAATGACTGTACTCATGAGCATTTTGCTGTTCAGAACAGCTATAAGTAAAGCTACAACTGTTAAGTGTAGTTAATTGTTAACTGTTAACTAATAGCAAGTGACATCACACTGTTAATTTTAGTTGCAAACACCAGTAGATTCTGAAATAATTTGAAATGTGGTAGTTCTATTTTCTCATTGATTTAAGCCCTTGGATAAATGTCATATTAATTAGATAACTGTTAAAATGGTTTACATTTAACCCAACTCTTTCTAGGAGACTAAGTTATACCAATGTCTTATTAATGCTTCAATAATTAATCACACAATCATATTAATCCTACTAATGTTCAAACCACTCACTCATCCCTACGAAAGGCCAAATGTCCTGCATAAGGCCTGGTTTTCACTTGTTTCGCTGAGGTATTAGGAAAGCTCTTTAAAGCTTTTCCTAGATAGATAAAAATGTGTATGTAGTATTGACAAAATTAGAAATGCGTTAAGAATAACATAAGATCATTTGCTAAATTACTTTTTGTTTTCTTATACCTAAAAGATAATTTTGTATATGTCAAAATATTATATAATGGATAATTAAAAAATATTATATAATGGGTAATTTAAAAAATCAAACAAATACAACACTACATATAGAACTCTGTCCTCTTTAAACTGGAACAGAATTATGAGTGTCATTCCAGTGAGCGACCCACCTATTTTCCAAAACTGCACCTGTCCCTTCATTAATGAAATCTAATGCCTCTCTATAAATCTTGAAGACTAGTCACCTCTTCAGATTATGGCCAATAATCACTCCATTATTTGCTTTTCCAAGAAGTTCGTAGTTGAACTTATAATTTTTTCTCAGCTACTTGTAAAAGTTACTATTTCAGATTCCTTGCTAAATGATGTCTTAGCTTGACCACAGAGCTGTAGGATAGCTGTTGGGGTATATATATATATATATATATATATTGTATACTGTTGGTAAGCAGTATAAGCTCCTTCTGCAAATATTTTATTATTGGCTCTGTAACACATACAGAAAGAGTTAGAAGTTTCAGAGAATCTAGAACAAATATAAAGACAAAAAGAAAGCAGAATCCTTTCTGGCAGTAACTTAATTTCTCTGGTTATTTTGGGCCCACAGTTGAATCTCTGATGGTCCAACTGTATGTGGTGATATGCAGAGAGCATAGCTTTGTATTTCATTCTCTATGCACCCACCCCTCTTTGGGTAACTGTGCCAACAGGTCATGGGGAGATACATGGAGATACATGGAGTGCATAGCTCCCTACCTGTGGCCACAAAGAACTTCTTTGGCCATATGCTGAATAGGGCATTAGAGACATGGGATTTGGTAACTGGGGTGAGCTCTCAGGGCTGGGAGGTGGGGGTGGACACCGGGATGCTGACGTGAAAGGGCCCACAGATACATGATGTGCATCAGACCTCAGCAACATTCATTTCCAAGCTGTTAGGTTACCAAGGAAGGAGCCTTACCCGGGCCTTCTGCTCCATTTCTAGCATTAATCTTTCATGTTGCTCAGCTATGGCCAGTGTCGCAGAATGGACCTTCTGATAGATCATTTCTCCTTCCCTTGTTTGAAAAGTGAATAGTCCTTCTCCTGTGTCACACATTCTGTGAGAATAGAGATAGGGAAAGAGATGGGTCTTCATGTGTTCAAGTGCGTAACAGTTCTCCATGTAAAAGATGCCCCTGCCCTGTGTCACCCTCCTCCTTGACTTCCATGGGAGTTAGGGAAGCAGATTCAGCCTTGACCAAGCCAACCAACCAACAAGCATATCTTTAAGTGGTACATGAGACGGAACGAAGGGCAAAAACCCATGACTATTTGCAATTTTAAAGATGAATCGTTCAAAACTGTGTACAGAAACAGATACAAGTGGGTTCAGACACTGCTGTGCAGCACTCACATTTGTCTTCCTAATAAAGCAAATAGTTGTTTTCTTTAAGGAATTTCACATTTGTGTTATCATACCACTATTTCCTATGATTTGAGAGCTCCTGAAATGTAAAGAACCAAAGGAAAATCTGAAGTTTTATACTCACTCTAGTAGGAACCAAGAAGACTACACATTTTTTAGTTTACGGATTTGCATACATACGCTGAAGCTTAAACCGAGTGATCCTTAAGCAAATCTTGTGCATCTTAGGAAATGACCTGGCAAAAAGAAGTCCCTATTTAGGTGTGAGGATATTTGGCTTGAATTTTGGCTTTGCCACTTACCGGCAGTGTGACCTTGGACAAGTTAAATAACTCGCCTGTACCTCCTTTTCACATCTCTAATATAGGAAAAATAATAGCACTCATCTCATAAGATCCGTATGATAGTGGAAAGACCAATCTAAATATCCACTGTAGAGAAATGAGTGACTTTATTTTAGTATTTTTATCTGATGGACTATTACACAGTGATTACTAGGTCATTTCTGAGAGCATATAACATTAAAAGTTCTTATGTACATTCAAGAGGAAAAAATCAGAATAAAATTTCTTTTTCTACTATTTAATTATAATTACCTTTCTAAAACAACTTTATAGGAATAAAACCACTGACACCTTGTTAAGGCAATAGGATTATAGGTAAATTATATTAACAAAGGCTAATTCCAAGATGAAAAATATTTCTAATTAATACTTTAAGCCAGCCTTTAAAAATAATTGGAGGCCCTCAGAAAGACCCACTCACTATCAATATGATGCTAACATCAGAAAATTTGCATGAGATGTTCATGGGGCCAAACTATGTCTTCCAGCACCAAAAGGATTTTGGATTCTTCTCTGTAATTCTCCAAGGAGTTTTCCGTAGAAAAGAAATGTCTCAAGAGGCTTCAGACATTACAGAGGCTGCGAATGCCATCCCGTAGGGCCCCATAGAGCAAGCACTTAGCTTCTGTGAGAAAGATCTTAATAAAATTCACACAGCGTGAAATGGAAAGTCTGGGGGGAAAATGAAGTGTTTTCGCAAAGTGAAACAAATGAGCTTTCTTTGTTGATTCCAAGGAGCAACGAAGTCCAACAGCCAGAGCAGGACAAGGACTGACACGTGGTGAGCCAGTCTGTTCCGATGTGAGTTCCTGTTCATTGTCATCTGAAAAGCACTGCTTATGAGCCCTCGGAAATGAGATAATGAAGACACCGACTATTCATTTCTTACTCAGTCACAGAGAGGCAGAGGGCTAACACTTGCCCACTTCCTGGCACTTAGCTGCCCAGAGAGGATTTGAAAGCTTACAGGAGGTTTCCTCCAGCTTCTGAAACACAGACTCCTGTCAACTCCAGCCTTTGATCAGCAAACAAGGAATTAAAACTCGCTGGCTTTAAAAAGTGAAGCCATTTTCTGTAAAAGGTGGTCTTTCTTCAATGCAGGTACCTGCAGCCAAGCTGCTCACACTTCTTTAGTAAAATTAGTTCAGACTTAATGACTTTTGTCTGCAGTGTTGGAATAAACAGCTTAGGTTTCTCTGCTTATTGTTTAAAACATGTTCTCTTGGGGTGCGTAAGAAGCAGATACAGAGATTTACCTCTTCTTATATGTCTGAACAGTTTTCTGGGGACAAGCCAGTACTAGAGAAGACAGGGGGAGAGATGAAGTCATATGACTTGCTACTCTATGTGGGGTCCACAGACCAGCGGCACCAACCTCACTGGGAGCCTGTCCAGTTTACCGGATCGGAACCTGCATTTACTAGATCCCAGGTGACTCCTCTTCACATTATAGTTTGAGAAGCACCAGCCTATAGAACTCTTTCTACACGTCACCATTTTATTAAGGGGAGCCGGAGATGACACTCGGGACCCAAATGAGGACCGATCAGAAGCTGTCTTTGTGCAGCTTCAGACGGTGACATAGGAGACCGAAGGTCAGAAAGGAAACACCAGGGGCACCTGGGTGGCTCAGTCGTTAAGCGTCTGCCTTCGGCTCAGGTCATGATCCCAGGGTCCTGGGATCGAGCCCCGCATCGGGCTCCCTGCTGCGC